TCGCCACCGCCTTTACCATTACGTTTTCCCGCTCTCTGTACAAGCTACACCCCAGGGGCAAGTCTTGCTCTCTCTGGTACAATGCTGCAAGAAAGGCTCCCCAGCAAATACCCCCTTTGATCGTACATTGTCAGAATACAATAACATCCAAAGTTACACTACTGAATATTCCGATAGTTTCACGATGTCTAAACTTACAGTGCCGGAATATTCCCATACTATCTAGAAACACTCAACCCCAAACCCTAAACCCTAACCCCTGTGGGCATGCTTCAGAAGTGTCAAGTTGAGCATTTTAGGCGCCAAGTGCTCTGAGGGATTCCCAAGTCGGATGCACTTCAGACAGAGGGGGGGGGGGGGGGGCGGGTAGGGTCTAAGACATTTAGCGTTAGGGTTTAAGAGATTTAGGGTTAGGGCTCAGGGTTTGAGAGCTTTAGGCGCTGGTGTGGGGTTGTAGGCAGTTTGTAGGGTTTCGGGTTCGGGCTTGTAGGGTTTGGACTTCAGGTTTGCGGTTCAGGGTTTAGGGTTTGGGGCTCAGGGTTTCGGGTTTCGGGTTCTAGGACTTCGGGGCTTTGAAGTTTTGGGGGTCTAGTGCCCAAGGGTTTGTGTGTGACAGCAGAATTTGCTGGGTGTTGCTTATGTCACTTCCACACCACCCACCCACCCCCCCCCCCCAAAAAAAAAAAAAATAAATAAATAATAATAATAATAAAATAAAACACACAAAATATCTATCTATACACGTATGTAGGCAGAAGCTACATTCATATATATATATATATATAGTCTCGAGACTCTCTATCTCACTCTGTCTTCTTTCTGCCCTCCTTCTGGAACCCAGGCCCTTGACCTAGGGCCCAACCAGGTTAAGATCAGGTTAAGTATGGATGCCTGCAAGGAACTTCTAGTGAGCCTCGCATGCTGAGACGACAGCCCTTTTTCCCGACGCCCAAGCCCAAAACCCTTGCAACCTAACCACACTAAACCCTAAACCATAAGCCCTAAACCCTAACCTCAAACCCTAAGCCTAAGCCGTAAAGCCTGCGAACCTTGCAAAGGTCCTGGTGTCCCATCTTCGGCCCGCGGCCCTGACTCGCAAACCAAGGCCCGAACCACAGAGAGAGGAGGAGTTTAGGGCCAAGCTTTGTTTCTCAAGTTTCGGACTACGGCTGTGGGATTGCAAGGTGCACCCTAAACCCTAAATCCGAAAGCCGAAACCCGAAACCCATGTCGAGTCATGCTCGAACATCAAGCACGTGGCTCGGAATGGGAAAGCGGCATCTGCTCCCGCAGCCACCTCAACGCAGCTGGGCTTCGGAGATTTGGGGGTTGTGGCTTTTCTAGATGGCCCCAAGTGCGAGCCTTCATGGTGTTGAAGAAACTGAATACGCGTATGAATCTTAAACCCTAAACCCTACATATGTTTACTGTATCCTAACCCACACTGGGTTGAGGCCTTGCAGGCGTCGGGAGTTTTGACAGCGACGTAACTTCCAACATTATTTTGGCTTCTAGTTCAGGGCTTGCGGGGTTCGGAGTTTTGGGTGGAGCCTCATTGGTTGACTCGGCGCAATCCGACCCCCAACGTCATGGGTTTGTAAAATTGGATGTTGGCGTCAAAAGGCGTAAAACCCCAGCGCTGAACCTAGGTTAAGGGCGTTTGGGGTATTCAGGGATGTTTAGGGCCAGGGCTTTGAACTGAGCTTCACGATTTGGTATGAGTTTTTCAGGTGTATGTCCAATCCTAGGTTCTGAAGCCCTTCAGTTGTCCAAATAGTGGTCCCTTTTTTGGATACCTTAGACACAAAGGCCTGTAGGTCACCCAAGACACACAAAGGAACCAGAATGTCCCTCAACCCTAAACCCAGTCAAGGGTCTCTGGGCTCGAAGCATGGTAGGGCTCATACTTGTAGCAAAGGGGTGTTGAGTTTTCCTAAAAGAATACCCTGTGTGCAATGTGCAAAAACTCCTAAACCCGAAACCCAAAACCCCCAGACCGAATCCTTCATTCCAATATCCCAAATCCTAAACCTCAACTTCAACCACCCAACCCAGGGGCCCAACCCTGATCCATGAACTCAATATCCTGAACCCTAAACCTCCCCAAGCCTTATGCCCTTAAATCAAATATTCCACACTTTGAACCCTAATTTTCGCTTTCACACCCCCTGAGAGCCTCTTCTGCGATGTTAAGTGATGCGCGCGCCATCGTGAAGAGCCTCTCAGCATGGAGGATTCAAGGTTGTAGGATCTAGGGCCTGGGATTTAGGGCTTGCTAGGGTTGGGGTTCTAGGATTTCGGGTCTAGGTTCTGGGGTTTATAGGGTCTTGGGTTTCAATTTAGGCGTTCGGGTTTAGGGGTTGGATTTCAAAGTTGTTGGTTGAAAAATTCGGGTTGAAGGTTTCTGATTCACAGCGTCTGACTCGGATACTTGCGGATGAAAACCACAGCGCCCGAATCTCCACCATTGAAAACTTACCATCAAAAGCCAGAAAGAAAAAGTCTTACAGAGGCATCCGGACAGGCTACAGACAACCACATTCTGGAGCCAAGACGCCCATCCGTATCTGAAACAGCTCTTGCGTTTGGGTTTAGGGTTTAGGGCTTAAGGTTTAGTGGCTCGCCTGTCTCCCAGTGCCGCATCCTGGACGCAGAGCGGCCCAAAAACTGCGGCCTAGGCCGCAACAACTTCGAAATTGGGAGAATTTAGGATTTAGGGTTTAGGGTTTAGGGTTTAGGATTCTACTTCCTGAGAAAGATTCTCTTGCACCCAAATCAAAGGAACACAACTAGCTGAAACGGGATTGCTTTGGCGTCTGCACCACGCAGCTCGCAGAACTAGGGATCCAGAATCTGTGCCTTCTTTTCGTGGTTCAGGCTTTGGGGCTTTCGGGCTTAGAACTGAAATGCTTTGACAACTGAAGGTTTGGGGTTTGGGGCTTAGGGTTTAGGGATTGAGGGTGCATTTAGGGGTTGGGCCCAGGGGTGTGTAAAGGGTTTCGGGCCCCGAAAGGGTTTGGGGTTTAGGGTTTGGGCTTATGGTTTAGAGTTTGGGGGTGGTGTTGAGGGCTTAGTGTATGGCGTTCTCTTCGAAAATTCACTCAGAGCCTTTTGCCCGAACGAAAAACCTAAACCCGGACCCGAAACGCGTGGTCCTACACCACCCTAGTTGCCTAAAACTCTAAACCCATAGGCCCCTACAATCACAATCTCAGCAGCCCAGAAACCCAGAACACTCTAAGCCCATAAATCTGAACCTTAATACCTTAAACCACCACAAAGACTAACCCAGAACACCCTAAACCCATAACCCTGAACCCTGAAACCCCTAAACCCTAAACCCGAAACCCTGAACCCTAAACCCTAAACCCTCGCTACACTACAAAGTACTCCGAGCCGCGCATTGCAAGAACATGGAGATCAGCTGCCGGTGGGCGCCCGGCTGCAGCAAGGGGCTGCGCTCGCCTCAGGTTTGCTAAGAGGCTTGGAGTTTAGGATTTAGGGTTTAGGGTTTAGGGTTTAGGGTTTAGGGTTTAGCGTTTAGGGTTTAGGGTTTCGGGTTTAGGGTTTAGGGTTTAGGGTTTAGGGTTTAGGGTTTAGGGTTTAGAGTTCTGGGCTTTAGCGGGTCGGAGGAGAGGGGATTGGAAAAAAAAAAAACTTCTTCTGGATGCTGGTGCATCTTAAAGTTTGGAGATTACGGTTTATGGAGTTTGTACAAGGCTTATAAGGTCTGAGGGGTTCAGATACAAACGTCCCCCCCACCCCTGAACTACCCCCGCATGCTGAGGACCCATTTAAGCCTTAGTTTTGGGTAGGGGGTAGGATCCTCATGGGCAGGATTGGGGCAAGGTTTGGGGTTGGGCCCCCCAAGCCCCGGGTTTGTAAGGTTTCAGGGCTTACTAGGTTTGGGGATTAGGGTTTAGGGTTTAGGGCTGAAGTGTTGAGGGCTTGGGGTTTGGGCTGTTTAGGCTTTACAATAGCGCTTGAACATACAACAGCCCACCCTGCACCGATTCCTCGAACCCTAAAGCTCTCAATCCCCTAAACCCTACACCCGAAACACTATAAACCCTAAACCCTAAACCCTAAACCCTACAAACCCTAAACCTAAACCCTAAACTGACCCTAAACCCTAAACCCCAAACCCCAAACCCTAAACCCTAAACCCTAAACCCTAAACCCTAAACCCTAAACCTAAACCCTAAACCTTAAACCCTAAACCTCCTAACTCCCCGAAACAACGCCAGGGGCACCCAGAAGCAGCCCGTGCAGTTCCAAGAGCTGCTGGCTGAAGACGCTTGCCGCCAGAAGCCTGGTTCCAGTGAAGGGGCCAAGATGCCCCAAACCCTAAACCCTAAACCCTAAACCCTAAACCCTAAACCCTAAACCCTAAACCCTAAACCCTAAACCCTAAATCCTAAACCCTAAAACCCTAAATCCTAAACTAAACCCTGAATCTAGATCCCCGAAGCCTAGCTCAAAAGAACCCACTTGTTTGCAGGTCTTTGTCTTTGAAAAAGTGTGCTTCTTAGGCAGCCCTACCGCAATACTAGCGCTTGGGATCTTCTAAGGTATAAGAACCAGCTTGACCGCATTGCGTGCAACTGCTATCTTGTTTGATTGCAACGAGTCTCTGGTACGACTCTGGATGGACCCATGTCAGGTCGTGACTGATGCTACCTTGTCTGTTGCGCGTCAACTGCGGGTAGCTCTTGTACAATTGTGATATACTGGCTGGGTATTGTTTTTGCATGCTGGAGCAAACTCTTACTCTTGCTGGGTCGCTGTAAGGTTTTGCTGCGAGCCCCTACTTGTTGCTTCACGCCGCGCTAGGTTCCCTACAGTGAGCTCCATTTCTCACCATGTCCACTTGAACAAGTAGCTGCACCTCGAGGACCCTTCGGGCATGAAGAGGGCCTGGGGTCTATAAGCAATCAATGCTAATTAAAAGCCAGCTCGTGGCGACTATGGCCACTATGGCAACTGCAGGCATGGCAAACTCAACAGGCTTTGTCGGTGATGAGGTACAACATGCGCCGGAAAAACGTCACTGCCTTGCACTTTGGCGCCAGAGATGTGAACCTGTGCAACTGCTCGGTCCACTCTGCCCGCCTCTCTACCATCCATGGTCCAATAAAGGCTATGGGACGGGGAACAGACCTGCAAACCGTCTTCTCGCCGTTTTCGCCATGCTTCCAGACGACCATGACCACGTAGTCGAAGCCCGTAAAGTTCAACACAAAGCTGTCATGGAAGGCAAAGCTGCCATCAGCGGACCAAGCCCAGTCATCCGTCCGCTCCACCCACGAGAATTTCGCAGCCAGTTGTTCTGGGGTGGCCCCTTGTAGTCCAAAAAAGCGCGGCCTTGTGAAACGCGTAAAGTCGAGCTGACCCATGTGCAAGAAGGACAACGACAAAGATGAGTTCTCCATCAGCAATACATGAGCGACAACGTTCAAAAACCTTTTGTGAGCACTCCAATCAAAGAAAGATCTCAGCCAGCGTTCGAACTCTTGGTCAGCTTGTTCAGAATCCCGAGAATCAGAAACGACTTGGGCCATACCAAAATCCAGAGCCGTCTCCAAACTCACGTCCCGCCCTCCACCGATGATCAACACGGATCTCGCCTTCGTGTCAGTGACGACTGTGACATTGTCCTTGTCAAGGTCCACTTCAAAGACAAAGACATAGTCGGCTCTGTCCATCTTGTCCGCTCCGCGGTTGTGGAAGCCACCATCTAGACCATAGTTGTTGGTAAGAACCTGAAAGATTGGGGTGCTGGGATCGAGCTTCGTGCAGTACACGCCCCTCCCATAGTACGCATCCCCCTGCTTGATGTCAGACGGCCGGATGGCATCACTCCTCACAATGCCATCGTAGCCCGCCTTGTTGGTATAGTGGTAGACCCGAATCGGGGAGTAGCATATGCCTTGCTGGAAAATGAGGGCCACCACCATAAGCACGCTGGCAGATGCCACAGCACGAGCCTGTGAGCGTCGGGTGTTCACCATCGATGCAAGGGCCACCCGCCCAAAAAGTTCCGTGTAGCTGTGGGTAAGCTCTTGGCATCAACTTTGCGCCTTGAGCCGAAAGTTCGCACAATGCAGCTCAAGAGTCAGATGGCCTTTGGCATATTTGCCCACCTCGAAAGACGTCCGGGCTTCTTCCAGGGCTCCGCAGTAACCAGCTCCAGGCGCGTTCCTCCTCCTTCTGAGCCCTTTCCCCTCCCAAGACCGGGCTCTCCCAAGAGAACGTCCGCATGTCACCGGACACCGCCGAAGCCTCGCTCTTCAAAACTGACTGAGGCTTAAACCCTAAATCCTAAACCCTAAACCCTAAACCCTACACCCTAAACTCCCTCAAACCCCAAGCCCCAAGTCCCTGGCTTGTACCCAGAGAGAAGGAAGCCTTGGAAGCAAGCAGTCCACGCTAGCACTAAGACTTGCTGAGAGTGTCATAGTCTCACTGGTCCTTTGCCCCCGCCTTTCTTCTCTGATCTGTAGCAATCCTATGGCCTATACGGCTTGGGACTCTGGCTTGGGTACCCATCATACTCTTCTGACAGAATCAAAGGCAGGGCCTAGGGGTTTAGGGCCTAGGGTGGTAGGGTTGGGAGGTTTTCTGCAGAGCCAAGGTCCTGGCTCTTTGGCAAGGGCGGACAGGGCGTGCAGTGCCTCTTGCTGGCCGACTGGGGTTCGGGGTTAGCAGGGCTTGTGGTTGGGATTTAAAGGCCTGTCTTGGGTTCACAAGAAGTACCAACATGCCCTTCCTGAAGGCTCTAGCCCATTACTATGGGTAGTGCGATCCAAGGGTTGGGGTTCTGCAGACCCGCTCGGCTAACCTCGCGCCGGATCTAGATGCATCGGGGCTCCGCTGTGAAGGGTTTAGGCTTCATGGTGCAGGGTTTGGGGGTTTAGGGGTTTGGGGGTTTAGGGGGGTTTAGGGGGGTTTAGGGGGGTTTAGGGGGGTTTAGGGGGGTTTAGGGGGGTTTAGGGGGGTTTAGGGGGGTTTAGGGGGGTTTAGGGTTTGGAGGTTCAGGGGTTCAGGGTTTCAGGGTTTCAGGATTTCAGGGTTTCAGGGTTTAGGGCTTCGGTGCTTCAGGAGGGAGTCCATGCTCATGGCCTGGGACCTAGGCTTCTCGGGGCCTTCAGAGTTGGTGTCATGAAACCTGAACCCTCGTCCCTGCATCCATGGAGCAGAAACCCACATCGGCTGTATCTTAAACCCTGAGCCCTAAGCCCTAAGCCCTAAGCCCTAAACCCTAAACCCTAAACCCTAAACCCTAAACCCTAAACCCTAAACCCTAATCCTAAACCCTAAGCCCTCAAAGAGTTGGCCAGGTTCACACAAGGGGTGCCTCTTCGAGATGGACCCATTCACCTCCCAGCCGCCCGGCGATGTCCTTGCGGATCTCCTGCACATCAGGGGTGGAGTTTTGAGGGCTTAGAGTTTAGGGTTTAGGGTTAGGGTTTCGGGTTTAGGGTTTATAGGGTCTAGGGTTGGGGATTGGGGTTTCGGGTTTCAGGGCTGCCTTGGGGGATGAGGCTCCCCGCAAGAAGGGATCAAGAGCCCGCTCAAAGAGGGCTTGTAGAGTGGAGGTTCTGACTGTCTCTTTCTCCATGGGCCTTCCTTCTTTCCCGCCTAGTAGACCTTCACAGGGGCTTAGGGTGTACCTTACTGGGGTGCATCTAGGGTATCTTCTAAAACCAGATCTTAACGGATACCCAGCGGATTCCAGCGCAACCCAAAGAGTCGAAGGCCCAAGGCTCAATGTGCTGCGCAATGTTAAGCCTCTCTCTGCGTCTCTCTCTCTCCCTCCCTCCCTCTCCCTTCCTCCCTCCCTCTCTCCTCTCATGCTGTCCCTGGAAAGCTTAGGGTAGGCCGCAGCCTTTCGGCGTTGCGGTCACAAGCCTCCGATTTGCTGAGTCTGGAGCACCCTAAGCCCCCTAAACCCTAAACCCTAAACTAAACCCCAAACCCCAAACCCTAAACCCTAAATCCCAAACCCCATACCTATAAACCCTAAACCCTAAACCCTAAACCCTAAACCCTAAACCCTAAACCCTAAACCCTAAACCCTAAACCCTAAACCCTAAACCCTAAACCCTAAACCCCAACCCCTCAACCCTAAACACCGCCTCCAAAAGCAGCGGCAGGAGCCGGCCCGGTGCCGCGTCGCGCTGGCGCGCCTGAGGCACCGCCTGTCAGACTGACAGGGAGATTGGGATTTTCGGGGATGCTAGGGATTTCGGGAGTGAGGGATTCGGAACTTAGGGTTGTAGGGTTTAGAGTTTGAAGATAGGGTGGTGAGGGCTTAGGGTGGCTGACTTTAAACTACAAAGCTCCTTGGCAGATCAGCCCCCGTATAGCGTCCGGCGCGCTTGTAGGGGTTCAGCAGGGCTTCAACCCTTTGGGCCTCACGGTCTATACTTGGAGGTTCTGAGTACTTATAACCCCCATTAGAAGTGTACTTATAAGCCCCCTGAGTCCCCTAAGTTGGTTATAAGTAGATTTATATAAGTACAAATGAACCTCCAAGTAGGGTTTAGGGGTTGGGGGTATGGTATTTAGTGAGGGCCGACCTCAAGGCACTGACATGAATCCCAGCACCGCCAAACCTTACAGCGAATTGGGCTTAGGGACAACCCTGACTCCTGCAACCGACCCTAAACCCTAAACCCTAAACCCTAAACCCTAAACCCTAAACCCTAAACCCTAAACCCTAAACCCTAAACCCTAAACCCTAAACCCTACACCCTGCCGACCCTGAACCCTGGGTACCATACAACCATGAAACCCTGAACGCTTAAGCCCTGGCCACCCTGAAGACCACAACTTCGACTCTCAACCTCGTTCGTAGGTACCCTAAATGTTGTCCCTTCAGGCGACATCAGAACCCCGAACCTTGGCCGGGTTTAGGGTTTAGGGCTTAGGGTTTTAGGGTTCAGGGTTAAGGGTTTAGGGTTCCGGAGAAAAGTTTGGGGTGTAGGAACTGAGACCCTCAAGCCCAAAATCCCTCAATTCCCAAAACCCCAAGATCGCTTCCACACCCTCAGTATCCCTCAATGTCCAGTTCTACTCCCCAATATGAACCCGTAAACTGGGAACCCTAAACCTTAAACGCCCTCAGAAGAGGTACAGCATGGACCGGCGCACCTTCGGACTGTTTGCGGCCTTTGGTGCGGATCCTGTGGACCGATTGGACGACTTTCCAGGGACATGGGTTTAGGGTTTAGGGGTTTAATTTAGGGGTTTAGGGGTTTAGGGTTTAGGTTTAGGGTTCGCACTTCTGCTACGGAACTAAAATGACTTTCTTCTCAAATAATCAAGGGTAGAAAGGTTAAACTTTACTCGTCCTACAAAAAATGGAAAGCCCAAAAAAATTAAGGTTCTGCTAGTGGCTAAGTAAGATGAGGACCGTGATTTACAACAACTTCCTTCCCACGCAAGCTGGGTGTTCTACAAGTCGTGCTTGGGGTTTTGTCTTCAGATATTATCCCACCTCACCCAGGCACGCGACTCCGAAAGAGTTGCGTGCACGCATTGACGGCTTGCTCCGGAAACCTTTAAGAAAGTCTACCCTAAACCCCATAAACCCTCGACCAACCTGCCAAGCCCAATGGCGCCTTTCGGCATGGGCGCTGCAGCGCCCATCTCACGGAGAAAGTCCCGGGCCTGTCATGAGGGAGTTAATGCGCGAAGGGGGCCTTTTAAGGAGCCAAGCCAGGAGGCAGGAAACGCTGGGACCCCTGAACAACTGAACCCCGAACCCCCCTAAACCCCTAAACTCCTAAACCCCTAAACCCCTGAACCCCTGAACCCCTAAGCCCCTCAACCTTGAGGCCTGGGAAGATTAGAGCAGAGCCGGGGCTGAAGGAGAGCCCAGAAAATCGCAACCCTGTGCTGTAAGCCCTATAGAAGCCCGAAGCACATCGGCCCTAGGCCCTGAACGTAACATCACCTAATTGAAATACAAGCTCCTGAAGCACCAAACCCTGAACAGTCATGAGGATGCACGAACTCTCGTGGTTCGGGCGTTGGGGCATGTTCGGGCTGTAGGGGGTGGGTGTTTTGCCGCAGTGAGGTGCTGGGATTCGACCTAGGAACATCACGTGGATGAAAGAGTTGTGGGGCGAAAAGCCACCCCAAACCCGAAACCCTTAAATCCCGGTCTGGGCAAGCAGAAGAGCATCCCCTCAGTTAACCTCTGGTTTAGGGTTTATAGGGCTTAGGGGATTAAGGTTTGGGGTTTAGGGGTTCAAGGTTTGGGGTTTAACGTTTAGGGCAAGGTTTAGGGGGTTTAAGGTTTGCAGCTCAAAGGTTTTTAGGGTTTAGGGTTTAGGGTTTAGGGTTTAGGGTTTAGGGTTTAGGGTTTAGGGTTTAGGGTTTAGGGTTTGGGACTTGGGGTCGATGGCCTCGCGGCGGAACTGCACAAAGCCCTCGCGCTCCTGGCAGAAGGCCCGGGAAGACTTAGGGCTCGGGGCCCATCACGTACACCGGAACTTCGTACTCCTTCTTGCTTTCAAGCCTAAACCCTCAACCCTAAACCCTAAACCCTAAGCCCTAAACCCTAAACCCTAAACCCTTTGCTTTCAAGCCTAAACCCTCAACCCTCAAACCCTAGCCCCAGCACCCGAGGTCCAATTGTAGCGACTAAGGGAAATGGAACTGCAAGGCAGAGGAAGCTCACCTAAGCCGGGCAAGCAGTTCAGTGATGGTGTTGCAGAACTTCTTGGTAGTACTCTATAGAGGTACTAAACCAGTCGTTCTGAGTAGTGGCACATAACCGCTAGTAGTGGTTGTGGCCGGTTGTGGCAGTGCAGTTGTCGAAGCTTGGCTTGACTGAGCTGGCTGTCCACGTTCATCGTCGCGGCTGCTCTCGCCGCCTCCCGTGCAGTTGTTGCTCCTTCTGCTGCTGTTGTTGCTGCGGCCAAGCACCAACGGCGATGGAAAATTCTCCAGCACAAGAAGAGACCATACCAGCAAACTGAAAGAATTTCGAGGGCCAGAG